TGCATTAAGCCATGATGCATTTAACCATGATACATTTAACCACAATGCATTAAGCCATGGTGCATTTAACCATGATACATTTAACCACAATGCATTAAGCCATGATGCATTTAACCTGGTTCCCTGAACTAACCATAACTGGCAAATTTTGAGAGAGAAAAGCTGAGCAGATTCACCTGCACTCAGCTGCTGGAGGGGCTTCATTTTCAGCAAAGCTTTGGCTGCTAGGGGAGACGGGTAGGCCCCTTCCCCGCTATTATTTCCTGGCCAAAAGGCTGGGGAATCAATTCCTTGCCTTACACCGCCATAAAATTGGGTTTTTCTGCTTCCAGAGTCCCACGCAAGATAAAGAGGATTGGGAGATTAGAAAAAGCTATTCATCTTCTCTAGAACACGGGAAGGGGGTATATTTATTTCTATCCCACCTTTTAGGTTTATAAATAACTGAAGGCAGTCAACATATCCAACACACTTTCCTCATAACAGCAGCCTTGAGAAGAGGCGGGTTGGGCTGAGATATTGAGAAGGATTTAGCCAGAGGTGGTATATTCAGCAGGTTCTGACCAGTTCTGGAGAACCGGTAGTGGAAATTTTGAGTAGTTCGGAGAACCAGCAAATCCCACCTCTGACTGGAGATTTTACAGTCTCCTTTCCCTGCCACACCCACAGAACCGGGAGTAAAAAAAAAAAATTGAATCCCACCACTTTTAGCCCAAAGTCAGTCAGCCGGCTTTCATGCCTAAGGCAAGACTTGAAGTCACAGCCTCCAAGCCTGGTGCCTTAACCACAGACCAAACTGGGTCTCGTCTAAAGCACTAAAAATGGGGTCCTCAAACTGGCAACTTGGGGGCTTCAACCCCCAGAATTCTCCAGCCAGCATAGCTTAAAGTTGAACAAGTCTTAAAGTTGAGGTCCACAAAAGTTTTTAAAATTGCCAAGTTTGGAGACCTCTGCACTAAACCATGGACCCCACTGGTTGATAAGAGAGTCAATCTAGAACTTGGCCACTTCAGGAGAGATGGGCTTCAGGTCCCAGAAACCCCCAGCTGGTCTGCCAACCCCAGACACAAACACCCCCATATACCACAGCAATATCTCAAAAAGCAGAGCCTCAACACTGTTCCAGGTAACACCCTCCTTCCCCAATCCATGGCTGGAGTCCTTTGATAAAGAAAATGCTTCTCCCCCCCCCCCCCCCCAGGTGCATCCTACCTGTGCATTGCAGCTCCTGGTCAGCAACACTTCCTTCTGGCTTTAATAGTGGAGGCTGGCCGGTTGCAGGTGGAGGGGGTGGGGTCAGCACAGGTGAAGAAGGACCGGCTGCAGAGAAGAGAGGCTTGGGAAAGGGAAGAGCTGCGACTGCTTCTTAAAACAGAGGGATCGGTCCAAAGATCAGGAGATCACTCCTCGGGTGATGATTGGACAAGGATCCTGTCTCACATCTTGGACTTTTTCCTCTGCCCACCAGCTCAGCGGGCAGGAGTCCTCTCCGAGATGCTTGGGGGGGCAGGCAGGGAAGGGGGGTGCATTTATTCCCTGCAACCCTCTCAGGTAGTCAGTCCCTCTGATGGGAGTTGTAGTCCAGCAGACCCGGGTGCCGCTGAAGGAGAGAGAAAAGGACGAGGGTCCTCAGGAATCCTTCGTGACCCAAAACTGCATGAACAGAGAACTGAGAGGAGCCCTATTTGTGGGAAGTGGGCTGTCACGTAAGGGGAACCCCCAGCAAATGATTCACACGAAGGGTTTGGCCTCTTTTTTTTTTTTAACCTCAGTTTCCTTTTCCTTTTGTTCTTTATCATGTTGTGCAAACAAAAATTGCTTCTTGGCCAAATCCCCAAAAAAACAAAAAAGGTTAATTCAGAAACTGCTGACTAATTCAGTCTGTAAGACAAAATTCAGGTTGCTTGGTGTGTAAGCTGAGTGTGTGTTGAATTCACCCAATCTGCGTGCTTCGGAAACCGTTGCTTGTGGTTAAGCATCTTTTGATAACCCAGCCAACCATGGCTTATTCATTAAACCAGGATTAAACTAGGATGTGGTAAATCTCAACCTTACTCTGGAAAGCTTCTTGCTGAGGAATATTGAGGGCCAGAGAAAGAAGAAAGCCCACCTTTTCCAGTGCATGTGTTTTGTGAGGTGTGAAAACTTTGTCTGATTAAAGATATGATAGGGAACGGGGCAATAAATGTGGGCCTCATCTATTCCCCATAAGATGTTTTCCAAGGAGCGTAATTTGGAATGGAGCTGGAGTAAGTGGTAAAGGAGAGAGGAAGGAAGGATTAGATCGAGTTGGAAGGGACCTTGTAGGTCATCTAGTCCACCCCCCTCCCCAAGCAGGAGACCCTACACTGTTTCTGATAGAGGGCAGTCCAGTCTCTTCTTGAAAGCCTCCATGAAGGCAACTTCTGTTCCATGGGTTGATTGTTCTGTCAGAAAATTTCTCCTTATTTCCAGGTTGAATCTCTCCTTGATCAGTTTCCATCCATTTTTCCTGGTCTGGCCTTTGGAGAATAGCTTGACCCCCTTCCTGCTCTCTGGGGCAGCCCCTCCCTCAAATATTGGAAGATGCTCTCCTGTCTCCCCTGGTCCTTCCCTTCCCTAGACTAGCCAGGCCCAGTTCCTGCAACCGTTCATGGTATGTTTTAGCCTCCATCCCCTAATCATCCTGGTTGCTCTTCTCTGCACTCTTTCTAGAGCCTCAACATCTTTTTTATAATGTGGTGAAGGAAGGAAAAGAAGGAAACAGGAGAGAATGAGAAAGGAGAGAGGGGGAGGGAAGAAGAGAAAGCAAGGAGGGAGGGAGGAAGAGGAAGGAAAGGAAACCGGATAAAGGAGGAAAGGAAAGAAACCAAGGGAAAGAGGAAGGATAAGGAATAACAAGGAATAATGGATGGAGACTGACCAAGGAGAGATTCAGCCTGGAAATAAGGAGAAATTTTCTGACAGTGAGAAGCAATCGACCCATGGAACAGAACTTTGCCTTTGGAAGTTGTGGGAGTTTCATCCCTGGAGGCTTCCAAGAAGAGACTGGACTGGCATCTGTCAGGAATGGTGTAGGGTCTCCCGCTTGGGTGGGAGGTTGGGCTAGATGACCTATAAGGTCCCTTCCAACTCTGATTGTCTGTTATCTGTTATAAATAGATCTGATTGTAGAGATCTGATTGTCTAGCAAGACTAGGTGAATACATATAAGGAAGTGAAAGTGTAGCTTTAATTGCAGACAAAAGAAGTAAATTGTATATCAGAAAGAATAAGTTGAGGACATTTAGATTTTTCGAAATGGAAATCCATAAGTGGGTATCGGTTGCAGTTTAAAGATTAAGCCCTCCTGTAAATAGAGGTAAGAAGAAGAATCAGAAGTGAATTCTGAGAAAAATTGTGTGATGCTCAATGGATTCTGTTCAGAAGATAGGTGAATGGGAGAAACTTACCGTCTGCTACCCCCCGCCCATCTGCTCTGCATGCTACCTGTCAACCCAGTTGGTCCCTGACCTGCCAGTGAACTTATAGACAATAAAAGAGCACAACATGTTTTCTGCTGAGTCTGACATCTAGACAGAGAATGATGAGGTGTGTCCTAGATAAGAAATTGGCAAACTCCAGCAACTTCATTAAATACTCGGAAAATCTCTTCCAGATATGACAATGCCTCACACTCAGGAAATATTTCCTTCCTTGCTCAAGCCATTCCTCTGGAGACAATCACCCTTGATTCAAAAAAGCTGACAATTGCATATAAGCCTTTACGGCAGAAAGTTATATTTCCACTCTACTGAGCCCGAAGTGTCAAGTCCTATGTAATCCCTAGATCAGGGGTCTCCAACCTTGGCAACTTTAAACCGGGAGGACTTCAATTCCCAGAATTCCCCAGCCAGCTATGTTTGCAAGAACAGAAGACTTAAAAATGGTTTGCAAAGTTCCTGAAGAGGTTTTTTTACGATTCCACAGCCAGTAGCTCATAAGCATTTGAAAATGAGCAGTAATTTAAGAACCAGTGGAGACCAAATTAGTAAATATTAATAAATTTTAAAAATCAGGGATAGTGTTAAATGTCAGGTTTTACCCCAAAGAGTGATCTAGGTTGAATCTATGCAAAGATGGCAGGTACATTCCCCCTACATGGTTAACCAAGTCATTGAAAGAGCTACAGGCTGCATTTACATAGCAGGTTTTGCTGGATTATTGCTAAACCTGGTTAGGTTTTTCTGTATCATAGTTTATGTGTGAAACCAACCTCTTTGGTTCACGCTTCCACGTTTTGACTGCAAAAAAATGTTATTAATTCAGTGAAACGTGCACTTCGGGAGGATGGGAATGCAGCACCCATCCTCCCCAAGCCATCTGCGGACAATGGGCACTGGTGTCCTGCAAAGCATAAAATATTCATTTTAATGCTTTAGCTTTTAATGCCTGATGTTTTCATGATTTAATCCTATAACTGAACTGAATAAGGATGGAAGGAGATGAAAAGAAAATTGGAGGAAGGAAAGAGGTTGCAAAATCACTTAATTAAATTTTTCATTAATGTTTTCAAATATTTTGCTTGGGAGAAGCATGCTGTTCCTTGCGCAGGCGCACTATGCGCTGTCCGGGAGTGGCATGGCTAGACAGATTTCCCCTTGCGCGCATGCGCAATGCCTCCTGTGAAAGCCTTGGCTGGAAACCCCAGGAGGGACGCGCTTGAAAAGCACACGTGATGGCAACTTGGGGCGTCGCTAGTCTAGGATATACCATCTTTGTGGTAGCTCTCGCGTTGGAGACCAGGGACCGGAAATGCCTCTTCCAACGGCACCCTAGAGCGGCGCAAATACTTCCGGCTCTCTTTCTACCAGCCTCCCAGCATCCTAAAAGAGATCGCTTCCGGGTCGCGGCGGAAGTACTTCCGGCCGTCGTTCTCCCGGCTTCCAGCCTCCGCCGGTGGCAGGGGAGGCTCCGTTGGCGCCGGCAAACGCGGGGACCAACGGGGGACTGAGCGGAAGTCCCGCCTCCGAATCCCGGAAGCGCCCGGGTGATTTGTCCCTTGGGTTGGCCTACCTCGCAGGGTTGTTGTTTCAGGGCAAAAGAAGGGGGAGAGCCCTGAGAAAGGCGGGGAGGGGCTTGAAGGGGCGTCTGGATGCCCCCAGGGAGACCCGCGAGCTGGTCGGGGGCGCTTTCAATCCCTTGTGGAAATCTGGTGATGAAAATGCAGTGGAAATGAATTTATTTTATTTATTTACCTTGAAATTCATTTATTATGAAGTTTCTTTGCAGTATCAGGCGACTCTGGCCGGCTCGCAGCATTAAAAACCATCAAAAGTATTCAGATCATCAGCTATAAAATGACAAAAGTAGATAAATTAAGTTCCTGGGATGAAATTGAGCATATTTCATCGCTTTATGTATTAATTACATTTCTTTATCCCCGCCTTTATTGCTATCATAGGTAACTCCAGGCTGCTAACACCCAAAATCATCCTCCCTCCTCCTCTTTTTGTCCTCCAATACAACAACCCTGCGAGGTGGGTTGGGCTGAGAGACAGAGAAGGAGGACGTCAAGCTCATCTCTCAAGCAAACGCTTTTGGGTCAAATAAATGACTTTTTTTCCTTTTTATATATATATATATTTATATATATATATAAAAGAGGCTTTTCCATAAAGATAGACCCTGAAATAAAGAGAGAAAACCTTGAATGGAGAAAAAGTCTATGGAGACTGTCAGCCATCCAGGTCATGGTTGTCCCAGGGGTGTCCCCCACTCCCCCAGGAGGAACCTAGACTTTCTGCTTTTTCTTTGAAGATGTTTCGTTTCTCATCCAAGAAGCTTCTTCAGCTCTGACTGGATGGTTTTATACTCCTTGCAGACAGCTGGTCATTTGCATTCTTTTAGAAGGTAGGTTGAGGCCACTTGGAGGTTTACCTGTGTCCTCAGGGTCACCTGAGAGGTGCAGATAGGTGTGGAGCCAATGGTGCACAGGGTAGAAAACACCCTGCACCCAAGAAGGCTCCACACCCATTTGCACTACTCAGGTGACCCTGAAAGGACACAGACAAACCTCCAAGTGGCCTCAAGGACCCTGTAAAAAGGATGCAAATAACCAGCTGCCTGCAAGGGGGTATAAAACCATCCAGTCAGAGCTGAAGAAGCTTCTTGGATGAGAAGCGAAACGTCTTCAAATAAAAAGTCCAAGGACCTTTGGAACTTGAATGGAAATATAAGGTGTCATTAAATCATTTAGCAAAGGGATCTTCTCCAGGATGAGGATCTGCCCCTAACTGGGTCCCATCGCTTCTGTTGCCGGAGCTCATCCATTCCATCCTCTTTTTTTTCCCTCCAGAAAACAACCATTAAAAATAGTGATGGTTTTACTATGGCTGGACTGCAACTCCCTAAACCCCCCAGACAGCTGTGCAGCTAAACACAGATTTAAAAGCAACGCACAATGCTTCCACAATTAAAGCAGAGGGAGGCTGAATTTGCACCGAATCTACAGCTCTGAATGGCGGGGAATCCTTCCCCCCACCACCCTCTTTGAGGGTCTTGCCTCTCATCACCCCCTCTTTCTGTCCCCCAGGGAGCCATGTCCACCCTCTTCCCTTCCCTGTTCCCGCGAGTCACCGAGTCTCTGTGGTTCAACCTGGACCGGCCCTGCATGGATGAGAATGAACTGCAACAGCAGGAGCAGCAACACCAGGCCTGGGTGAGCAGGGATGGGGGGGGTCCCCTTCCTTTGCTTCTCTCTCCCTCCCTCCCCACCGCTGAGTGTTGCCCCCCCTGCCCGGCCCTTACGGAGGGTTGACAATCTTGGCTCCCTTGTTTTCCTTCCGAGCGTCATTCTTGGCTTTTCTCTCCAGCTGCAGAGCATAGCTGAGAAGGACAATAATTTGGTGCCAATCGGGAAACCAGCCTCTGAGGTAAGAGCTAATTTGCCCCGTGGCACCAGCTGAGGATATTTTGGGGGGGTGGGATTGGGTGGGTAGAGGAAATCTGTACCTTGATGGGTGAAAATTGGGAATATTGGAACTTTTAAAATGGCCCCGTTGCCAAAGTTGTAAGAAGTGAACTATGTTAGTGAAACATCAGCGGTCTGATCGCATCTTTCCCCACTTACAAATTTTGGTTAGAGGTAGTCCTTGACTTACGACCACAATGGAGCCCAACATTTTCATTGTTAAGTGAACTTTGCCCCATTTTAGGACCTTTCTTTCCACCGTTGTTAAGTGAATCACTCCCAGCGGTTAAGATAGAAGCACGGTTGTTAAGTGAATCGGGCTTCCCCTTGGACTTCGCTCGTCAGAGGGTCACAAAAGGCGACCAGGTGACCTTAGGAAACAGCCAGGGTCATAAATATGAGTCGGTTGCCAAGCCTTTCGACCAGGCTTGTCAGTGTGGAAAACCAGCCATAACTCACTTTCTTCGGGGGTCATTGTAATTTCAAACGGTCACTAAACGGATGGTTGTAAGCTGAGGACCACTTGTGAAAGGGTTAAAAGGGTGCCCTGTGCTGGGGTGGCTGGTGGGGGGGGCGTGTAGAGAAAAAATCCCCCACCTCCATGTTGATCAGATGAGTTTTTTTGCTTTCTGGAATTGCAAGCTGGACATGGCCAAGAGGTGACAGCACTAGAAGAGAAAGTCAGCCTCTTGCTCTCCAACCACCTGGGTCCTCATTTTACCCACCTCGGAAGGGTGGAAGGCCGAGTCAGCCTGGAGCCGGTCAGGATCGAACTGCTAGCAGTCAGCAGAGCCTGCAATGCTGCACTCTAGCCACTGTGCCACCATGGGTGGATGGATGGATGGATGGATAGATAGATATGGAGGGAAGGTGGGAGGGATGATAGGCGAATGGATTAGAGAGAGAGAGAGACAGACAGACAGACAGATGGAGAGATATAGCTATGCTAGAAGGATAGATAGATAAATAGATAGAGATAGATATAGAGATAGATAGACAGACAGACAGACAGACAGATATGGAGGGAAGGTGGGAGGGATGATAGGTGAATGGATTGGATAGATAGAGAGAAAGAGACAGACAGACAGACAGACAGATGGAGAGATACAGCTATGCTAGAAGGATAGATAGATAAATAGAGATAGATAGATAGATAGATAGATAGATAGATAGATAGATAGATAGATAGATAGATAGATGGATGGATGGATGGATGGATGGATGGATGGATGGATGGATGGATGGATGGATGGATGGATGGATGGATGGACGGACAGACAGATATGGAGGGAAGGTGGGAGGGAGGGATGATAGGTGAATGGATTGGATAGATAGATAGATGAGTAGATAGATAGATATGAATAGACAGATATGAATAGATAGATAGATAGATAGATAGATAGATAGATAGATAGATAGATA